GCACGTGCCATAATTTTTAATTACTGTGACATTTTAGCATCATTATGCTGATAAGTAAATCACAAGAGAACCAACAGAGGACTGCAAACCTGGAGGCTATGGCATCCTTGCAAGCACAGGAGCTCATAATGAATGTCCAAGCAATCAAAAGCGGTCCATATAACTAAAAAAATCCACTAGTAAATCGGATAATTTGCAATGCTAATTCAGAACCCCGTCAATTACTAGTGAATCGAACCACCATTTATTGATTTATCATATAAATTAACCAAATTTATGTAGGTTCAAAATTTCTTTTCACACATAACCCAAGTAACATAGGAAAATAACATACCTCTATCATCAAAACATAATGGAAATGAGTGGGAGAGAGACAAAGATGAGAGCATAGTTGCCAATAGACTTGCGGAAATAGCAAATTTCCATTGAATGAAGATCAAACATTTGAAAAGTCACCATTCCAAATTACAAAAGAAGTTCATAAACATTTATCAACCATTAAACTACTATAGATTTACATCACTCCCCTAAACCCTAATCAATAGAACCCACTATTCAATAATTTTCTAAAAAAACATTTAATGTTTCCATGGGAAGTACTTCACTCAAATTAAAATGTCTCCACAATTAGGCAAGTATTAGCACAACAATTAAATAGGAATGAAAGGGAACTCAGTAGAAATAATGACATGATATAACAGAAGTGCCTGATGCCAAATGGAACTTGAGATGCCCATATTAAATTAACATTTTCAAATCTAATGAGAGCATATTGTATCAATTTGATTGCCTCATTTAAAATGTGAACTAAGCATCATCAATGTGAACTAAGCATCTACCAGAACGATCTCAAGTAGGCTAAGAATTTCTTATTTCATTACAATTTCTAAAAAGATTAAATTAAAGTAGATGAGTAGCATTTGTAACACATTAGTGTAGAAAACATAGAATCATACATAAATCACCAATAGATCAAACTCCATTATGCACAGAAAATAAATAATTCAATTTCAATAAATATATATGCATAAATTGCTGCAAAATACAAAGAATATATAGAGAGAGAGGTAAAAAAAAACATGCCAGGGATTAATCGAAGGAAATACCTAAAAATGTTGATTTTCTGTTGCTCTAGAGAGATCATTTTGGACAATCCAAGGGGCGAAGTTAAAGAAGTTTCTATGAAGTTAAATACTCCCAGTCATGTTCATGGGCGTGGAGAAAAATAATAACAGTGAAACACAATAAGATTATCACCTTTAACATGGCTAAACAAGGCAATTCATAAATACATTTAAGTAGTATGCATATGCCTAGCACGCTGATATGTTAAGTTAAAGCCATCCAGCAGATATTTCCACACATTAACATTCTAGAACACAAATTGATCAACGACTTAGATGCCTGATAAATAGAGTATTCGGGCCCATTCAGAGTCTGAAACCTAATCAGAGCAATACATTCACACACCCTCCTAGGAAATACTTAAGGATCATCAACAATTAGGAAGAAATTTATCTAAATACATCAACAATCATTTAGCTGTTGGACTATGAACTAGAACAGCTCAATGTTACATCAGTTTGTCAAGTGAAAGAAAAATACATTGGTTCATAAAATAAAATAAAATAACTGCTGAAATTTTAAGAAACCAAGAGGTTGAGTATTTGAAACATCAGCAATCACCTGCGAAAGATGTCTCATATGGTATGCCAATCTGTGCTCCTTCCAGACAATAGATCACCTGCTCCAAACAATTACAAAGGTAAATATTAAAGAGAGAAACAATTATGAAAATAGCACAGACAATTAAGCAAGCAACCAAAATAATCAAATTTACTCATTTGATCAACCATTCCATTGTCAAATACTATGTGATGCAACAGAATAAATCACACGAGGCTAGATATTAACATTAATTGATTCAGAGAGAAAAACCAATACATGACATTAACATTTACCAGTAGCAGCAGATACATTTAATTACAAACAGATTAAATAAACACATCTGCTTATGTAGGACATCTTTGTTTTTATGTTTTTGATTTCACTTGTTTAAAAAATAAAAATAAAAACAGAAGAACTGAAGAAGAAGATCTATCCAGCCTTGTATTTGTATTTAGCTGGTCTTTTATGTGATTACATGCACATGGGTTTCCTAACTTGAACAAAAATCACAAATAGATTTTCTTCAAGGCTCATCTTTTGTTTCTAGATTGAGGTGGAAGAATCAAAATAGCAATGGCATGGGGTTGAGATTTAAAAAATCATGCAGCTAATTTGAGGGTGACCTAATCTAGAAACAAATTTATGCTAACTAAAGATGATCCTTCACCTAATTAGACAGCATTTTCATTTTAGGTCTTTCCATTTCATCAGAAAGCAAAATCATGAAAAAAATTGTGATCTTGCCATTGAATTAAGATGGTCAGCACTAAGATTGTAAGATAGCAAAGCATTGCTGACTTTCCAAAATGGCCCAAATAGCTACTTTCTAGATGTGAATCAACAAATAAGAATGCTTGATTACTATTCACTATTTAGATCTTAGACTTATGTTGTTTTTCCCTAGGCAATAGAGTATCCATAGAACAAATAAAGCTAATAGAGTTATATAATTTTATGCGCAGATATTACATGAAACAAACACGCTATTGTGCACCAAGGCAATCAAACAACACAGAAACAGAACAAATCTTTTTATATAAGGTTCAAGAAAACGAAGTCAATATACAAGCAAAGTAGGAAGAATTTTGAGTAATTGAATCTAAACCGTTCTTATTGAATTAATACATTCGCATAATTGATATGAATTATAAATTAGGAAGAAGAAAACTAGGGCACAAACCTTTGGTTGTGGGTTTATTGGCAAAGATGTTTATTATTTATAGAAAAAATGAAACAATCAGCAATCAAAAATAAAAATGAAGCAATCGCAAACACACAAAGTGATGCACAATGTCATATAATTGAATGGGACTGCCATTTTTGTATATCCAAGTTCAAAAGTACATATGATCATACTATAACTGTTTTTGTACACATCAATAAAAATAATGAGCTTGCAAACTTTGATGTCTAATTTCCTAACAATGTTAGACACTAAGCTTCATTAATTTGCATGAAACGAACAATTATAACCAAATTCATCCGATAAAACCTAAAATATTCGTATAATTTCCCTTATCGATCAATTTTGAATCTTGTTATTACTATCACTGAGTCTCATACACAGAAAGAAAAAAAAAATCACATAAAGAATTGAAGGCTCTTGTGGGGAAAATGAGTAGTATTTCCTCATTTGCTAATAAAATCACATAAACAAATCAAATAATATTATTTTGTGATGTAGAGATCCAGTAAATCTGGAGGAGTAATTTTGTTATTTCACATTATTTTTTCCTAAGGTTCTGACAATACATTGCCTTTGGAAAATTCATACAAAAACAGTTTTGAAAACCTCTCATTAGCGATCCAGAAATTTCAACAATAATTTCAAGCAACCAAACACTTTCAAAACCAAGCCAATTCAAACAATTGCCCTTCCATATAGCCCTAGATTTTACAAGCTTTCCTTAATCATCACTGTTCCTAATTCATGAATCTACCTAACATACCTCTGTGTACATGCAATTGAATTAACAATTCTGGATCAACACAACACAAATGGCTATAACAGCCAAAATCACAGTAGAAACAGTAAGAGTTGAGAGAGATTGTTCTAAGAGGTTCAAACACGTCTATTGTTTTTAAGAACGAATGAAATTCAACAGAATATTGAAATTCAACAGAAAAATGAAGATGAGATAACTAAAACCTCCCTAAAACCTCGAAATCACAAAATGTTGAAATCATTAAACACAACTAACAGATATAATGAAGAGAGTGAGACAGAGAGAGTTGGATTCATTAATAGAATTAAGGCTTACCGATGATGAATCGATCAAAATCTTCAAATTCATCAACAATCAATTGAAATCTTCAAATCTTCATCAACTATTGATCAAAATCTTCAAACAAACAATAAAATTGGGATGAAGAGTCCAAAGACAGAGTCGAGTGAGTGGAGAGTGAGATTTTGAGAGAGAGAGAGAGAGAGTTCATACTGTTGGAGATCGGTCTTCAGAGGAAGAAAGCAAAATGGATTTGGGAAATAAAAGTAAAAGGGGATAGGGCAAACTTTACAAGATTTGGGATTTTTTTTTTTTTTTAGTTAGTTAAGAATACGATTGAGGATTAAAATAAAATGACATTTTAATGTAAAAAGTGGTTTTTTGCGGCGGCCAAATAATTAGTCGCACAAAAATAGACGCGAAAGTTCATATTTCTAGTAGTGCATTACTCTCTCTCTCTCTTGTTTTGCACCTCATCTTCTCGTTCAATCTTGCAGTAGTGCCATTAACAAATCCTCTCTAATGGTGGGCCTTGGAGCTAAGATTGTTCTTTGAAAATAGGCCTATTGGTTCCTTCTTATGTCTCTCTCCATCCTGTGCCTTTATTTTTGGCTTTTATCACTACCTTGAGGTGGGGCGGAAGCTAATCATTTTATTCATTTTACATCTCTTTTCTAATGATTTGTGTTTGTTTGGTCAGTTGACAGGGGTTTGAACTCTAAAGCCTAATACTCATATTCTATTTGGTTGATTGGAATGCGAGAGAATGAAATGAAATGATAATTCTTTAAACTTTCTTATAAAATGATCATTTCCTTAAAATGATAAAAGACAATTTCATTTGTCATGCATTTGTGTTATTATTTTTGTAGTCTAACCAAACATGCAAATGAATATTTTGATGAAAAGATCATTTAATTCCATTTTATTCAAATGAACCAAACCCTACAAGATTTTAGATTTATACGCAGCGCCACTTGCTTTTTGACATTTGTTGCTTAGCCCAGGGTTTCATTGTCCTTAGAGAACATGTTTTTGTTGGCATAAAAGTACAGGAAAATTATTAAATAGTCCATGATAGAAACCTTAAAATAAAATAAAAAAAAATTTAAAAAAAAATTCCAATCTTGTCGTTTGCTGGAAGTTCGTTAAAACAAAACTCAAAAGCACAGCACAATAGTGACTGGATAGTCTGTAAAAGCAGTAGCAGAAGTATTTTGGTATGGATACAATGCAATACATCATAAAACAACTCCAGTCAAATTTATTGTGCCGGAAAGCATAGCAGTGGTGGAGCGCACTAGAACTAGAAACTTACAGCCAAATAGGAAAAGCATCGGTAGTACTCAGGGTACAAGTTCACAGCAAGAGGCATGTCTTCATTCCGCTTTCCACGAGGACAATGGTGGAGTTTCTGAGTTGATCCATGTCATTGACATAAAGGCATGTCTCTCACCCTTGACCACATCGGCTGAGGCATAGGATTCGAGTTCAGCCATTTCTTTTGGGGTTAGCTTTACAGACAATGCACCAATGTTCTGGTTCAAGTTTGCTATCTTGGTGGTCCCGGGGATGGGAACCACGTCGTTTCCACAGTGATGGACCCATGCCAATGCCAGCTGTGATGGGGTGCAGCCCTTCTTTGCAGCCATTTCATTGACCCGCTCAAATATCTTTTGATTATGCTCGAGATTTTCAGGTTTGAATCTTGGAAAATTCTACACAAGAAATACATGTCTCAGCATTACAACTACAAATCCACGAAACAGAAGGACCTAAGAAGTACACATGCTTTGACATATTTTGCTATAAAAATAAATCACGATCCTATTTGGTCATATACTTGGGTTATTTGTGAACAAATTCCTGAGTAACAATCATGAGGCTGTATTTAATTGGAGGATTTGATGAGAGAAATACAAAAGGAAAAGGAAATACAATCTCACTTTTTGTTTGGTTATATGGAAAACACGGGGAAAAGAAAGTGAGAGGGAAATGCATTCCCACTTTTTGTCTTTTGGATTCACTTAGGCTATTTTCTTTCTCCATTTCCTAACTAAATCAAACATAATTTGGAATTCGAATCTTATCACTTCTTTCTCATTTTCTTTCTATTTCCATTTCCATTTCCATTTCTCTTATTAAATTCTCGAACCAAACACAGTCTAAAGGTTTTCTTCTTGACAACACTAGTTTTAAGAAGAGTATAAAATAAATCAATTTCAATGCAAGTATTACGCATGTGCATGCATACATATTACAATGCAAGTATTGAGAAAAAAAACATTATCGTGTGTGTAAACACTAGTTTGTAATGAACATAAACAGGAAATGATATTTATAAAAAGTATATATATATAAACAAAAAGACAGGAAAAACATAAAAATGTTATGGGCATCAGAAAGAAATCAACCGTGACACGACTTCACAAAAGAGTCTTCACCAAATGCAGTGCTCACATATTATAATAGTATAGTATAGTATAGATAATGGATTACATGTAGCAGGTTTGAATTTTGTATAGCAGCAATACTACAGACACAGAAGCCAACTACAGACTGCACACAAGCTTGTAGGTCCCTCGGAATTGTGAATGGTCTCTGGTAGTTTCTTTGTCGCTAACATTTGTCTATGTAAAGCCTAATAATTACACACTATGAAATCATGCACACAACAAGATGTTTTCTGATTTCCTTCAAGTAATTTCACTTGGAACATAATCTGCTGGGGCCATGCCGACCTGATCCCATTTCGAATGTTCGCTGACAGCCAAAAGAATAAGACTTTTTTTCTTTTTTTTATTCAGAATAATTGTTAGAGTTTGTACATAAGAAAAAATTATTATAGAGAGAGAGAGAGAGAGAAAGAGAGAGAGAGAGAGAGAGCACTATATTCTAGAGCATGTCTATGTGGAAGATGAATCCTATAGCGCTGACGGGATCTGTGATTTAAACCATCAAATCATTGTCAATAAATTCAAAGAACAAAAGCCCCAAATTAAAACTCTTCCATTCCCCCAGCGTACCAAGATATATCATATGACGAGTCAAATACTGATAGAATATTGACTGACTACCATGGCTCACATACAGGGATTAATGAAATTTTGGAAGTTTCAGAAGGTTGATCACTTTGTAAGGCAGGGACACAAAGTGAAACATGATATAATAATTTCAAGCAATTTTTTACAACTACTTCTATTCAATTTATTTGGCAAGTGAAAATAATAAGTATGTGAACAGACCTTGCGGAAATCACCATCTGACAAGTTGGCAACGAAGTTGGTACCTCCAGTTAAAAATCCCCGGCCTAGAGGGCTGTATGGAACAATCCCAATGCCAAGTTCTCTGAAATTGACAACGAGAGTTGAAAGAGGGATGAGGTCAGAATTTCAAAAAACTTATTACTCTCCAATCAGATTAATTAGCACAACTGACACCATACCGGCAAGTAGGAACAATATCTGCCTCTGTATCTCTTGACCACAGGGACCACTCCATCTGCACAGCTGTTATTGGATGTACAGCATGTGCTCTTCTGATTGTTGAAGCAGAGGCCTCAGACAGACCTATGTACTTTATCTTACCCTCTTCAACCAGTTTCTTGAGCTCTCCCATCTTCCGAAAATCATGTCATAAACAAGGTCAGGTAACAGTCAACACAATATTCATTTCAAAAAACAGATGTAAATAATAAAACAAGTATGGAATAGTCAAATCCTCATAAACAAAGAGAGAGAGAGAGAGAGTGATGAAACCAGTGCAGTTGGTTAGAGTTCCCTTGTTACCGCCTCCAATGTATCCAATGTACCCCCAAAAAATAAAAAATGAAAAGATAGCCATCCAACTCTAGAGCAGAATTGCAGTGTAATCACACAACTTCAAATTGCAACCAAGTTGATCCTATCATAGGGAGTACTAGCAGAACATTGCCTGAATAGAATGATAATCACTATTCATTCTTAAATTTACAACATGATTATTGTTTTCCTTGTTCAAAGAAACTCTGTGCTACCAAAAATTTGACCGTGGCGATAAATTGGTCACAAGATGGTAGGATCATAAAATCACATATAACCACTGACATTAGTCCTTCATCATAATGTCATTGAGGCAACATACAGTTCATATATTTCACTAATCATGTGGTAAACTTACTATGTCATTCCTCACAACTTTTACCTCCAATTAAATGATGGTTTACAATATATGGTATTGCTAGTCAAAAAACTACTTATCTATTAAAAGGACGAGACTGGGCACTTCGTGGTTATTCTGTAAGGTCACATATGATCACCCATATGGTTTTTTGTGGGATATAGGGACTTGTAACACAATAGGATTATGGACAGGATTAATAATACCTATGTTATTGCATGAGATTATCTCATGGGAGTACTTGTACGATGATTGATTAGAGCAGTGTTTTAAAAAGCTCCAAGCGCATTGAAGCGCCAAGGTCTTCTGGAGCGTAAGCATGAGGCGCAAGGTGAGGCGTGTGCCTCACCGAAGCGAGGCTCAAGTTGTTGAAAATAACCAAAATATTAATATAGGTGAAGTTTTTGACATAAAACAAACATTCTTAGAATTTCAAAAAAATAAAAAATAAATAAATAGAACAGCATTCAATATTCCAAAAATCATGAAAAATAACATTTAACGTTTCAAAAATTTCTCAAAAATAACGTTCAATCTTACTTTGCCCTATACTATTTATCTTTCTTTATCAATTTATTAACGTGATTCATTTCTTTTTTTTAGATAAGGAACTCACACTATATAATTCCGTAGTGGTTTTAATTTTAAATTGTGACCAATTGCCTAATAACTTCAATCATTGGCCTAAAATTGTTGTAATTTACTACATTGAAAGGAATCCCAAAGCCATATATCCATCTTACAATCCCAGAGCTTTTGCTTAATGCCTAGTGCTTTTTTTTATATGAAAATTGAGGCTCAAAGCATGTGTTTCCATTTTATATTAAAGGGGTTATAATTCCATATGGTTACACACACAAAGAATAAGGATGGAGCAAAAATTTAAATGAAGCGCATGAGGCGTGCGCCTCGTGCCTAAGCCTAAGGTGCTCACCACAAGCATTTGAGGTGCGCGCCTGAAGCGCCTCAAATGCGCCTTTCCTACTGTGCCTTGCCTTAAGCTGTCTAAAGCGCCTCATGTGCGCCTTGGTGAGCCTTGTGCCTTTTAAAACACTGGATTAAAGTATGATATAGTCTGAAATAAGAGGGAGGGATTATTTTTTACCATTGGATGGAGAGTGATATGACTAATCTCATGCAAGGGATTACTAATACTGGAGTGTGGTATTGGTAATCCCACCAATTTGTGGAATTAGTAATACCATTGGACTATCAATCTCAATCCCAAGACATAACCAAACTAAGGTCTAGGGAATACCAAAAAAGAAAATCATGTGGGCCCCACAGGATATGTAATCCCAACCCCTCTAATTTCCATCTACTCTTGTCAATTAAACATGCCTCACAAGTAATATCGCAACACAAGTAAAATGGGAAGAACCAAAAATCAAAACAAAAGACCCTTTTGTTTATTTTCAGGCATGAAAGCACAAAAGGCCCTATGATGAAAAGCAACACCATGAGTGACCACAAAAAAGTTTCCAAGAGGAGTCTGATTTTGATCACACTTGACAAGTTGTGTAAGAAAACACAGGCACACACAAAAACACTTATTAGTTAAATCAACTGGGTCCTCCGCTTTAAATGGGATACATTACACCGTTTTAACCGACAAAATATTTTGATATGTAAATGACAACAATTTCTTTCAATTTCAATTAGGCACACATAGTAATCAATCACACTGTTCTTAAACCAACTCTTAAGTAAATATGATCAATCACTATATTATGTATACATTGATAGCATCTCTAACTTAATCTCTGCCCATTATATTTGAGCTAAACTGGAGAATCATTCACAAAAAAACCAATTCAAATTAGGGAGATTCACCCAAGAAAACCGACTCTAATAAACTCACAATGTGATTTCTTATTTTTAGGGTCCTATTCACTCAACATGATATTCATTCCAAAAAAGAGATGCAAATAATAAACAATTATGGAATAGTCAAATCCCCACAAACATAACAAGAGAGAGAGGGGGGGGGGCATGGAAAAGATAGTCATCCAACCAACCAGCAGCATAGTTGGTCAGAAGAACCCTTGTACCTCACTAGGTATGGAAAAGATAGTCATCCAACCAACCAGCACAGTTGGTCAGAAGAACCCTTGTACCTCGCTAGGAGATCAAGGGTTCGAGGTCCCCTGCTAGGATCTCTGATGTATCAGATGTGCCAAAAAAAAGAAAGAAATATAGCAACCCAAATCTAGAACAAAATTGAAGTGTAAACACACAAATTCAAATTGCAACCTAGCTACTCCAATGATGGGCTGTACTACCCTCAACATAGCATGAAAAGAATGATAATCTCCGTTTATTCTTAAATTTACACAATGATTACTGCTTTCCTTGTTCAACCCATGTGACCAACAAGTGGACTGTGGCAGTAAATTGGAAATGAGATGGTACGATCATAAATCACATATAACCATTGATGTTAGTCCTTTATTATAATATCATTGAGACAACATGCAATTTATGAAGTTCACTAATCCTGTGGTAAACTCAGTATGCCATTTCTTAGGACTTTAAACTCTAATTGAACAAGGGTGTACAATGGGTACATGGTAATGCTAGTCGAAAACTACTTATCAATTAAAAGAAAGAATAGTTAAAGAATTACACTGGGCACTTCTTGGCTGTTCTGTAAGGATGCATTTGTTTCATCCATATATAAGGACTAGTAATACGATAGGATTATGGACAGGGTTAATAATACCACTACAATATATAAAAGTTTTAGAGACTCTAAAAGTGAAAATTTTGTTGCAAAAGACATTTAGGGATCAATTTTCATTGTCATGAGGATAGTCGCTAAAAGGTCGCCTGGAAAAGTAAAAAAAAAAGCTATTAGCGACAAAATTTTGAAAATGACACTAATAAATAGACTTTTAGGGACAAAATAATTTGGTCTTAAAATTATTTATTTTTTAAGACAAAAAATTTGGTCCCAAAAGGATAATAATTCATCATTAATGTCCAATTTTCTTCGCTAAAAATATATTGACAACACTTTTCACAAAAAAAAAAAAAATTGGTCCCTTAAAAATAATTTTGTCCCTAAATTTTGATCTCTATAACCTTAATTTTTTATAGTGTACCTAGGAAAATGAATATGATTACACATATCATGGGAGTACTTGTACATGATTGATTAGGGTATAATATAGTATGGCATAAGAGCATCTCCAATAGCATAGGCATTTATCTCATATTAGGCTTTTCACCTAGTCTCTTCACTCATCACAGATTGGGGTTCCAAAAAAATAAGCAACACCTTATGTATTTTGTGTCATTCTCTCCTGACTAGTTACATTTGGAGAGTTTTGGAGGCTAGACAAACCAATTTTAGGAGTCAAGAGTATTGTTCGAATACACACTAGCTAAAGTGCTTAGGCAAAGATATAAGATGTACTATTTTATAAACTTTTGAACAAGAGTCAAAATTTATTCACACTTGATAAATTGTGTATAAAAAATTTACACTGCATCCTCCACTTTCATTGGGCCAATCACATTTAAATGGGATACATTACACAGTTCTAACCGACAAAAAAGGTGTGCTATATTAGAACAAAATATTTTCCCCACATAACATATGTTAATGTGTTTACAATAGTTGACCCCAAATGACAACGATTCATTTCAATATCAATTAGGCACATATAATAATCAATCCCATTGTTCTTACACCAACTCTTTAAGGAAATATGATCAATCACTACATTATGTATATGAGAAATTCTACTATGCACACCCCTTTCAAGGGTGTACTATATCCACTCCTAATTATGTCATTTTTTTTTTATAATTATCACTAATTTTTTTTTAATTATGATAATATTTTAATTATAACTCATAAGATCTTTGATCATGTCTCATGTGGTGTTTGGTTGACTTTTTTTTTTTAAGTATGGCTCAGAAATTATAAAGTTATTATAAAATTATATTATTACAAAATTATGTTATTTTATTCTTTAGTTATGAGATACATATAGTACATATGCTTAGTCTTTCCCCATGTATATATATTGATAGCATCATTCACCAAAAAAACCACAAATCAGGGAGATTCGCCAAAAAATAAAGTCCAATAAACTTACCATGTGACTTCTTATTATAAGGGCTTGATACAGCTGCTCCCTCAGTCAGCGTAGTACATCATAAATATACTTGAACTCTATTTTATTGCAATAGAAGCCATGATTGGTTGGAAAATCACTTCAACTCATAATACAAATTAAAAATAAATAAATAAAGTACTATAAAAGAATATGTAAATGGAACACAGGAAAAAATAGAGAACCCACTTTATAATTAAAATTTGGTAAAAAAAAAGAAGAAGGAGAAGAAGAAGAAGAAGCATTGTTGGAGATATTTGGAGAGGGAGGAAATAGGGATCAAACCGTGACTTCGATGGGAACGCTAGTGTCAGTCCGATGCTGGTAATAGAGATCGATGAACTCCACCTCCAGCCGCTTCAAACTGGTCTCGCACGCAGCCCGCACGTAATCCGGGCTGCCACGCACCACCGGCTTGTCGACGCTGGTGATCCCAAATTTGGTGGCCAATTGCACTTTCTCTCTCCACCCTCCCTTCAGAGCCTATGTATAAATAAATAAACCCAATTTAATCAAATTCAGCTTGATTCAGAATTGATAGTTAAAGGGTTTGAATAAATGGAATTGAAATGGAAGTAGATATGTTTTTTGTTGTTACCTTGCTGAGAAGGAGTTCGTTGTCACCATAGGCTTCGGAGGTGTCGAGGAAAGTGACGCCGGAGTTGATGGAGTGGTGGATGAGCTGGATCATGTCTTCTTCGGGCTTTGGAGGCCCGTAGATGCTTGACATGCCCATGCAACCAAGTCCCTGTGCTGATACCTCTAGACCTTGTGAACCCAACTTCACCTTCTTCACTTGAACCATTTTTCTTCTTACAAATTTCTTCAAAATCCTCTCTCTCTCTCTCTCTCTCTCTCTCTGTATATACGTATATATTTATAGTTGCAGAAGAGGAGTGAAGTGAAGTGCAGTGGCCATAAAAGATAGAACTGCCGACGTCACGGATTACGGTCAGAATCGAAATATATAATTATATAATTATAGGATAATGCTATGATAAACACTATGGTGCAGACAGTGTACCCACCACCTTATAATTAAAAATAATAATAAAATAATTTTAATTTTTTAATTTATAATTAAATATAACATGAGATGTAATTAAAAAAATCTATAGGTCATAATTAAAGAAAAAAATTAGTTATAATTAAATAAGAAAATAACATAAATAAAAGTGCATATGGTACATTCTTTTTAAGATAGATGTATATTAAAAAAATTTCTTAAGTTATATCACTCTTCAAATGTATGAACCTTATTATCTATGTTTATAGTGTATGTTACGTATTTTTTATAGGAGTTATGATGATTTATAGTTTAAAAGTGAAATTACACATTTTCATGGTAATTTTATGTATTTTGTAGTATTATTAAACATTTTGTATTTAAAAAAGTTTGGATAAAAAAAAAGTATAACATTATCAAAATGATGCCTAACACTACCATGAAATGCATAATTTCATTTTTGAATAACAAATTATTATAATTCCTACCAAAAAATATATACCATTTATCACAAAAAAATGCATAACATTTTCTACAAAAAATGCGTAACCGTGTGCATATAGTATACACTTTTTGAAGGGTGTGTACCACAACATTGTCTTATAATTTGTTAGTTATGGTAGGCACTCAAGTATGTTGTTTGCAAGTTAGTTATTGCATAATGATAAAACTAATGCTAAACAAACATTTAAATAATTTTGTTTATAAAATGTTTGCATATAATTTGGTATTTAAGCAAGTTACGATCATGCTGCGAATGAGGATAATATTTATAAAAATCCTTCTTCTAAATCGAACCAAATCAAATTTTACTAATTTGGTTTGGTTCCAAAAGTCATAAAACTTTCGTTTGGAAAGAACTAAAATAGCCCGACTTTTTGGTTTTTTAACTATTTTAGCATGGCTTTTTTAGCTTCTTTGATTTTTATTTTTGGCTTTTTTGACTTTTGTGAGAGAAAAAATATAATGATTATGGTTTAGATGTGACATTTTATCTTATTAACTTATGTAACTAATTTTATCTTTTATACTTTTTTAGCCAAAAAGGTAAAATTAAACATAACTTAAGTAGTGATTTGATTTTGATTTACTTCCATTAGATATATTTTCCTCTCGAAGTATTTTAGTCAAGATTAAAGTTTTTTCTTTTAAAAACAACGTTATATACACTGGTAAGTTTGGAAAGTTGGGATAATAGCTAAAAGGTTAAAAAAATTACTAAAAAAAGTAAAAATCAATAATTATACAACAAAGTGAAAGATAGCGTTTAGTTTGATTTTCAAATCATGATTTGGATAAAAAAATTTCAAAATTCTTATTAAAATTCATAATCAAACAAAATTTTCAAAACTCAATTCAATCTTAGAAAAATAATAAGACCCTTTCAACTGGTAAAACAAATCATCTATACGAGATAGTAGGTACTAGTTTTTAACAGTTACCCAGTTCCACTTCTAATAATCAATGCATAGTCGCAATGTGTCATCCTTATTCTTAGCAAAGAAACTCGGTGCTCTCCAAGGCGATGTACTAGGGTGAATGAAACTCTTTTCTAACAATTCTTGGAGTTAAATCTTCAACTCATACAACTCGGCGGGTCCAAATCTATACGGTGCCGTGGAAATCGGTGCCGTATCAGGCACTAGGTCAATGGAGAACTTAATCTCTCGATAGGGTGGCAAACTAGTAAGATTTTCGAGAAAGACGTTCGGGTATTCTCAAACTACCCTCGACAAATCAACTCGAACCACATCACTCTCACTGCCCAAGAAAGTTGCAAACAAGACAATTAAGCTCGCCTCAACCATGTGAGTCATATACTAGTGACAAAGCTCTATTAGCTCGGTCTCCCAGAAAATAAAAACAGTCACCACTCGAGGTGCATACCGTAACTCTCTAACGGCAACAATCTAGTAGGGAACCATCTCCCAGCCTATAAACCCCTAATTAAGATTGTACACATCTATTTGTGTTTAGAGTAAATTTCAAACAAGATAGCACGGTATGAAGACAACCAATCCATACCTAAAATGACATCAAAACCCGACATGTCTAACAATACGAAAGCAAAAATAAGTCGTCGACCGGCAATCTCTATCTCACAATCTCGACACCCCCTGTCCAAGACAACCTTACCTCCAACTGGTGACTCTACCTTGAGCAGAGATGCTAACTGAACCACTTCTAATCCCTAAACTAATGTGAATACTGACGAAATGAAAGAATGAGATGCACTAGTATCAATCAACACATTGACAATAGAATTGAACAACAAAAAGTTACCTCTCAAAACAGAGGGTACTGGAAACTGATCTGGTGTGGTAACAACATACATATGCCCTGTGGCTCTTTGCTATACTTACACACCGCTCGGAGCATAGGTTTGATACACTAATTGAGCCGAAGAGACTCCTTTGTTGGCCCTCAAGGCCTGTGCTAAAAGGGTAGGCTAATGGTTTTGTGTCCGTCTCGAACCAGATGCATCAGATGTGCCACCTGCCTGAGTGCAAAACCTCCTCAAGTGCCCCGACTACCCACACTGATAACAAGTAGGTAACTGCCCTCTCATCTGACTCTAGCTCTAAGGACGAGCCGAAGACGATGTAGACTGTTGCCCACCTCCTCTCTGGGGAAAATTGAAAACTTATGGCCCAGCTGACCACACTTGAAACAAGTGATTCCATCCTGACTACATCTCCCTGAACCAAAACTCAGTACAAGAAACCCGTTTGTCTTTTGTTGTCTCAAGTCTCCCTATAAACCTCCTGACTCCTTTACTTGGAGCCTCTCATCTGCTCCTCCTCCGCTTGGATCATAGTCTCTAAATGAGTCGCCGCCTCCACAAGGTGACCGTAATCCCTAATCATAGACCCGACCACCTTAAAAAGGAGCCCGGTCTGAATCTCTTCTCGAACTCGACACAACGGCGTCCTCCGTTGCCATAAGTTCCAATGAAAATCCAAAGAGGCTAGCGAAAATAGCCTCAAACTCGGCTACAAGTGTGTTAAGCTACTTGAGCTTCAAGAACAGATCTCTCAACTTCTCTCTAGCAGTGGAAGGCAAAAACTTATCTTGAAAAGCGTTGACAAAGGTCTCCCAAGTTATTCCAATGCGCCCTTGAGCATACTTTCACCATTGACCCACATCTCCCTTCAGCTGGAACGATGCCAAGGTCACCCTCAAACTGTCGTCCTCCATGCCAAGCATCTCAAACGTCTTCAACATCTACTCATGCCACTCATCCGCGTATAGTGGTTCCTTCGGATCTCCTAAAAACTCATCCGAATTCGACCGGAAGAACTCCCTCTTCAAAAATGACGGCCTTGTCTCGGCAACATGGGCCTGGACTTGACTGTCAGCCCTGAGAATGTCCATAGATTCTCACAAAGCTTCAGTCATTTCATAGGCCAAGGCACCCATGGCTTGCTGACATGTTGGCTCGACCATGTTGGCTTGACCAATTCTCTCCTCTTGCGTCCAAATATCATTTGGTAATGACATCTTCTACCGCCTAGGCCTACCACACCTACCACCACCACGTCTACGTCTTGACATCCTAATAAAGGTAACACAATAGATTAGCACATTTGCAAATGTGCCGAAACTAATTCATTCACGTCCTAATACAGTAGACAACAATTTATTCACCCCACATAAGCACCTAACCACATAAACACAAACGAACTTCCTTTCTAGATAGTGATCATCCCGTGACATTGCAAGAGTTCCAGTTAGAAATAGTAGCGATTAAGTGCACTTCTAACAGGACTTCTAGAAACTCGTGCGCCTAATCAATATCTGAGAAATTAAATTCCATACAAAATTTGATGGGTCGTTTCACACACCAAATATAAACATTAAACTAGACCAAATTCCTTAGAATAATAGCAAGTCCAAGTATTGATCCATAGGGACAAATGAGAAATTAAACTAATTTAATTATTGAATTCCTAAATTAATTTTGATAAAAAAAATTGAGGAATCATAAACTAGTAATAACTAAATTAAACTAAGAGATTAAACTAGCACTTATAAATAAAATTGGAATTGTTGTTGTTGTTATGGTTTTTTTTATTTTTTATTTTTTAGGGGGGGTGGGGCGGGGGGAGGGGAAACCTAGAGTAATGAATTCACCACTAGTTACATAAATAAGGTTTCAATTTGAGACTCAATTATGTTATAGTTTGAACTAAATAATACCTCGCAACTACAAGCTCGAAGCATTTATCAAGAAAATTAACACGTTCAATGTATAGGCACCAACCATCTCATGTAGTACGAGTTATTCACTCTAAACTAGAGTAGCAACACAACTCGTCCCTCGTAGTATGGCTCGTCTCATATCTTAAACATGAAAGCACAAAAAACCATTGGATGGAAAGCATTCAACAATCACATAAAGAAGAATACTTGAAGAGAATACTAAAAAATATATTTGAAACTTCTTAAACACCATACAATTTGTGAGAACCCGAATATACAAATAAAATAAATAATTAAATAATAATTATTTTACAATCTCAAATATTTTGCTGATGAATCTTAAAGTGCAAATTAAATATTTGAAAGGTCTTTTAATTAATTTTAAACCTAAAATAAATTTATAGTAAAAGTCTTTAATTTGGAGGCAAGATTTATTATTTAAAAAAAAAAATAAGGAGCAAGTTAGTAAGTATATTTTGATATAATAATAGTTATATTTTATTTAAATTAATGGAGATAGAAAATAAAATAATATAAAGAGATAATAATTTAAAACCTTTTGTTTCGATATATAAAAAAAAATCCTAGTGTTCCTAGCAGCAGCCACGGGAGAGAGAGATTGAAAAAGAAAAAAGAAAAAAAGAAGAAGAAGAAAGGTTGC